GTCAGTCCATCTCACCCTGGTCTTCCATTCCTGTGCTGTCCTTCCACCCTTCGAAGCATGATGTCCCTCTCCAAGGGCTGGTCCCCCTTGCCCGAAGTATTTCAGACAGGACTTCAAAACCCTTGCTTCTAGGGAGCAGCCTGGTTTCACCCTCTCTGGGACAGACCTGTTTGTCCTCAATATGTTCACAACTCTTCTTCAGCATCATAACTCAAAGGCATCGATCCTTCTGTCATCCTTAGTTACTGTCCAGCCCTCTGATGCGTAACAAGTAATTGCAAAGGTCATGGCCTGCATCAGGCACTCCTTAGTTTCCAGACTGACATCATTGCTCTAAAGAGGTCCCTGACAGCAGACTTTACCAATGCAATTCATCTTTTGATTTCCTGAGTGCTGGTGCCAAGAGTGTTGATTATAGAACCAAGCAAGCTAAAGTTCTCAACAATCTCATATCCATCCATGCTTTAATCTCTGGGTGGTGCAAATGGTTAAGCTCTCAACTACCAACCAAAGGATTGACGGTTCAAATCCTCTTGGAAACACCTCAGAAGAAAGGCCTATGAATTTGGCTCTGAAAGATTCCACCTTTGAAAACCCTTTTGAGCAGTTCTGCTCTACACAGAGTGGATTGCCAAGAAATTGAGTCCATGACAACTTTGGGCACTTTAGTCCTTGTGTTACCGATGCTGTTACGAGCCTCTAGCCTTTTGTTCATGTTGTTTGATCTGCCAGGGTTGCACCTTTTCTTTGTTTCCTGGGCAAGTCTCCTTCTTGATTTAGATCAACCGTTTCCTTTGGAAAAGCCACCAGGAACTTATCCTCAACAGCAGCCTCCTTCCTCCTTCTTTTCAGAGCGCCTCAGAGAGAACAATGCTATCTTTCCTGCCACTTCATTCAAAATATTTGGATTGCCTCAAAGTGGTGATGAAGACAGTTCATGCACTTGGCTATTAACCAAAGGATTGGAGACTCACCTCAGAGAAATGTCGAGGCAGTCTTCTTCTAAATAAGGAGTTGTTGAAAACCCTCTGAAACATCATCCTTCTCTGACACATAGGAGGTGTCTATGAGTTGAAATCAACCTCATTGCAAATAGTTTGATTTGGGGCTTGGAGTGGGTTGCCCCTGCAGGACCTGAGCTCCCTTTTGGCTAGAAATTTGCGTTTTTCATCATCATTTTCCCCAAACTGAGCACTATACAAGCCTCTAAGTGATGAGAAAGAAATGAATATTTTTATAGGCTGCTGTAGGAGCTCTAGTGACCAGAAGCTGCACTGCATCCCGAAGGCATGTAGTTCAAGGCCACCAGTGGCTCCGCAGAAGAATGGACAGTCTCCTCCCATGCAATTAACTACCTCTGAAAACCTGCCCAAGGATCAGCTATGGGTCAGTTCTGACTCTACGGTAGACAACAACAACAACGGATCCTAAGAGGAGCTCTGATGGTGCAATTCATAGCAATTTATGCTGATAACCCAAATATTACATATCTCTGATGGTTTGACTCTACTAGCACCTTTAAGAGAAAAAGAGAGTCTCTTCTCATTAAGATGTATAGCCTTGGAAACCGATAGAGGGCTGCTATGAGTAGGAACCCTCTTGATCCCGGTGGGTTTGGGGTTTTTGTTGTTGTTTTTAGGAGCCTTAATGGCTTAGTTATCTTTTGAACTGTTAACTGAAGTATTAACAGTTCAAATCTACCAGCTGCTCTTCAAGAGAAAGATGGCATCTTTCTGGTAAAATTTATGGCCTTGAAAAGTCAATGAAGTGTTGCCATGAGTTGTGATGAATTTAACAGCAGTGGTTTTGGCGTGGTTTTTTTTTTAAAAATAAAAAACAAACCCAAACATTTATTTGAAAGTAACAGTTCACAGCCTACCTCTGCATATACTTTATTATTTTTTTTCTTGACAATTAAGGAAGTTTACAGGAGGACCTGACAACTTCATTCCTGTGATTTTTTTATACTGTTTTACTTACAAAGTTCATACAGACGTATAGATTGTAGCGCACACCATTCTTCATTCATATTATGCTTCATACAATCATTCCCATGCATTATGTTTTATAAAATTAATCATCATTGAACCTTGCCCATCATTACCTGGTTTTTTCAAGTGCCCCCTGGATCCTTCCCATTTCCTTCATCCCCTACCTGGATTTTGGTTTTTTTAAAGGATTGTTGTTGTTTTTGTGTACCACCGAGCCAAAACCAACCTATAGCTGACTCTTCAGAGAGTTTTCAAAGGCAGTGAATGGCAGTTCGGATCCTCTCACACCTCCGTGGGAGAAAGATGGGTAACTCCTCCCATGTAATTTGCAGCCTTGGAAAACATGCCGGAGGGTCAGCTCTATGTCACTTCTCACTCCGTGGCAATGAATGAGCCTAACTTTAGGAATGGTTAAGCAGTGTTCTACAAACCAAAAAGTCAGTAGTTTGAACCCATCAGTTGCTTCCCAGGAGAAAATACCTATCAATCTGCCCCTGTAAGTATTGTTGTTGTTATGTACCAGCCCGTAGCTGACCTCTAGAGGGTTTTCAGAGGCAAGAAATTGCACAGGAGATTGCCTGTCTTTCTCCCTCAGAGCACCTGGTGGATCTGAACCACTTACATTTGCAGTAATAGTACAATTCCTTATCGCTAAGCCACCAGAGCTCCCTGCTTTCCTATAAGAATTACAGCTTAAGGAATCCTATCAGGCAGCTCTGCTCTGTTATGAGGGTTGCTATGATTCAGAATAAACGCAATAACACACAGCAATAACCACCATACTTCAAAGAAAATTGTGCTATTAATTGACTGTTAATTTGCAAAGCAAGTTTTTGTAATTTTTTAATTGTGATTTTGACAAAAGTTTACAGAAAAATTGCATTTTCATTCCTTTATTGTTACACATACCCCCTCCCGCAGTTCTTATCTCCACTCTGCAGTGAAAGAACTTTATCTCTGGGCACTCACTCACTCATTCCTGTTGAATCAGAATCCTCTCGTATGTGACCCTCTAGTGAGTTTTCAGAGGCTGTAAATCACATGGAAGGAGATTATCCATCATTCTCTTACGACATAACTAATTTATTAGAACCTCCTGCCTTTGGGCTGGTAGTGTAGCTCTTTACCCACTAGACCACCAGCACTCCCTCTAGTGCTGAGTTGTTGTTGTGTGATGTCCTATCAGAACAAACCCCGAGCTGGCTCTACAGCAGGTTTATAAAGGCTGTGAATAGCACAGGAGGAAATTGCGGATCTTTCTCCTGCAGAGCAGCTGGTGGATTCAAGTCAAGTGCCTTGGGGTTGGTAGCACAGCTCCTTACCACTGTTGTTGATCACCTTCGAGTCGAACATGACTCATAGCAACTCTATGAACAAAAGGCCTGAAACCCCTCTACTGTTGACATTTGTCAAAAGTTCGTAGAGTTTCCACAGGCATGTTGCTTAGAAAGTGGATGCCACTCCTGCTTCCAAACCTGTCATAGTATGTTATTGTTTTTATGTGCCATTGAGTGGCCTGTGATGTATAGCAACCCTATGTACAGCAGCTCTGAACCCTTCCCTGTCCTGAGCCAGTCTCACTCATTCTGACACACCAACCCCTATTGCCCCAGTTACTGTGTTAATCCATTTCATCTGGAGTCTCCTCTCCTAAGCTGTTCGTCCTCCCTTCTGAGTATGATGTCCTTTTCCAAGGACCAATCTCTCTTGGCCACGTACCCAAAGTAAGTGAGGCAGACCTTCAAAATCCTAGCCTCCAAGGAGAGACTTGGTTTCACCCTCTCCAAGACAAACCTATTTGTTTTCTTGGCAGTCCATGTACCACTAGGTCCCCAGAAAGTTGTCAGTAGTAGATATCAAACATATGCCCAAATGTGGCTTTGCTCCCTTCAACACCTGGAGATCATACACTTAGCAGTAGGAAATATCATTACTTTCTTTGTGTGAATCATGAAGCCCCGGCCATGGCCTGGTTAAAGCAGAATTTAAGAGCAAGGACCCTGTGGGGCAAGACAGCCTCTCCTGTCCCTTCTATTAAGTGATGCTTTTCTCTCTCTCTCTCCAATTAGAAGCTCTCATTTAAAAATCTAAAGATGAAATTACAGTAGTTTTCCTCGGTGGACAGGTTTGCACAAAGCCTGTGATTATAGATTTCGCATAATTAAGTCAGGCCATTTGGTTCATGGCCATAGGCTCCCCACAGTCCCTGGAGCTGGAAGTATATGCAGATTAATTTCTAAGTATATCTTAAAGGGTTTCTTGAGCTGCTATGGCTGGCCTTGCCCTGACACTCATATGATGGATGGGATAGAGATGATACGGTGTCTGCAGAGATGGAGTTCCCAGGAGTGATTAATAGTGTATCTACTGGCTTGTTTTTGATGCCCTTCCTGATATTAAATGGTATTTTTCCTCCCTCAAACTACATGTTTTATCTAAAAATGGACTCTTTGAGGGGCTGCCAAGTAGGCTGCATGCTCCACATGCAAAATTCTTCATCCTGGCCTCTGTGACCTTGATCAGACATCTGTGAGACTCAGTTTTTCTGTCCGTGAAAATGGGCTGATGACTGTCAACTCTCATGGTCACTGTCACTGGGAGCGCCATCTGAGAAGTGGCTGTGAAGTCATGTCTTCCTGTACTTCATGCAGGGAGGCATTCTGGATGTGTTGGAATGCTCACTAATGAAAAATGGGCAATGAGACAACTTCCTTTCCTTTTTCTCCTGGGTTATTGCTGCCATTTGATGGTAACTAAGTGTAAAGTGCTATTGTGATAGCTCATGAAGGTGTCTAATGGGCTGATGTCCTTGACTCAGCCCGAAAAGACCTCTGGACAGACACATTGAAGGAAGGATTCATTCTGGTCTCGTCTGAAATGTTGTCTCTGGAACCATGACATATAGTTCTAACCATTTGGGTTTATTTCTTGAGAGGCTATTCTTAAAGCATTGTCCATCTACATTTGCTTTCATCGTGCTTACGTGATTCTCTTTGTTGTCTTTTCTAGGCTGTGACCCAATTAGAACTTTTTGGGGACATGTCAACCCCTCCTGATATAACCTCTCCCCCTGTAAGTATGCACTGCCTTCCACGCCCTGCCTTCTCCTCTGGTCTGTCCTTGGTCTCAGCACAAAGAAAATATAGATGTTGCCTTGAAGAGGCTAACTAGCACATTTCTGCTGTGACTCTTTGAAACTGTGTGTCTTGAGATAGTTAAATAGCAATCCGCAGCCTGTATTTTCTCTGTTACTTAAAAAGAAGAGAGGTCATCATCATCTCTGCCACTGTGTTAAGAAAGAAATGAAATCATATGTTCAGCAATCACCGGCTGCTTCTTGCATGTTGCTGTTACTGAAGGCACTGGGGACTGAGGGGCATGAGATGTGGCCTTTGCTTGCAAGGAGCGTGGGAGAAACGTGCAGGACAGCAACGTGTGATGAGCCATTGTCAGTAAGCAGGTGGGCAGCCCAGTCACGGCAGCATTTTCTCTCCTGCTCTTTCAGCCCTTCCTGCATCATTCCTACCTTCATTTCTCCCACCACCCTCCTTCCAGCATTCCACTTAGCTTCACTGGACAGGGTTTGGTCCCATTGAGCTTCTCTTAAAATTGTCCCTTCCTAACCCAGGTTCTAGCCGTGGCACCTTGGTCAAACATACAGAAGGGACAAAAATTATGGGTCGCCTTGTTTTGGGAAATGAAAAGCAGAAAGCGGATTCCAAACCAAAGCCGAATAGCATCCCAACACTTGGAGAGCCTCATGCATTCAAAGGCAACCCTGCAGCCCCTGCAAAGAAAAGAGGCCGGCTCACAGCCCTTTCCCGGAGGTGGGCGGAGAGCAGTCAGCCGCAGCTGCACCAGCTGAAGCGGCGGGGAGGGGGCAGCTCCTCCGGGCGCTCTGCGATTGTGCAGACCAAGCCATGGAGCTATGGTTCATTGGCGAGATGTGCCTCAGAGAGAAAAGGCTGTAACCTTACCACTGAGGACAGATGGCACGAGACCCCGCTGCCCACAGCTGCCGCCAGGGAATCCAGGCACAGCTGCCCTGTTCCCAGCACCTGATGCTCACAGCAGCTGCGAGGGAGGGGACAGTGGCGCGTGCCCCCTCCGGGGAAGCAGGATACCTCAGTCAGTCTCGTTTTCTTCTCTGTCTCAGGGGTAACTGTTTCATTCTGGACACGGGGAGTCTAAGAAATGGAGGGCTCAGAAACTGGAAAGATCTGAGAAGGTCTTCTGTCACTATCCTCATCATTTTATAGATGAGTAAACTGAGTCCCAGAGAAGGCACGTGACTCACCCAAGGTCACATGGGGAAGACAGAGTGGGGCTGACTTATGTTTAAAATTGCTTAACACAGCAGCTTATGGCTGTATTTCTGGCCCTGAACCCAAGCGTAGCCCAAATGGGTATTTAATAATCCTCAGAACAATGCCATTCGTCCCACAAGCTGCTAGTCTAAAAATGGCCTTGTCTAATTGCCATGGTTTCAGGATTAATTGCTTGCCCTAGTCTATTCCAAGGGAAAAAATATATATAGGGATGTTAATGGCACCAAACAAATGTATTCTCTGTAGCCAGAAGGTTACTGTTAACAGGTAATGGGCATTAACAGAAGAAATCTGCCCGTTTTTCTCATCACCACCCCTCACCTTCACCAGCAATCCATGCAGCAAGCCTTACTGGAGTTTCAGCACAAGGCAGGAACCGCAGAGTTGACAGCTGCATAGGCATCATTTTTGTTACATTCTTGAATGTAACAAGTGAGAATTCAAGCAAAATTCTGGAACGTTCCAATATACAAATATCTGTACTCCAGTTGCTAAGTGTGAGTTGCTCATTTCTTCAGAATCTGTTTATGGATGTGGTTTAAGTGGCAAACCCTGAGTTGGGCACTCTGGGCCCTGGATGAGTAAATGCCAATTCTTTTCTTTTTTTAAAACTTATTTTATTAAAGTTTACAGAGACTTTTGATTTCCATTCATTCATTGTTGCACACTTTCCTCCCTCTCCACCCTTAGTTCACTTTTCTCTTTGAAAAGTAAGAAAAAATTATTTCATTGTTACACAGTTTTCCCTCCCCCAGTCCACTCCATGTGACAATAGTACCTAATCATGTATTCCTTCTAAACAGTTCTCTTCCTCATCCATTTCATTGCAGCATACATTATTTATTCCCTCTTAGTTCCCCCCAACCGCTTTACAACAGTGGCACTATGCAGTATTTGTCCTTTTGTGACTGAGATATTTCACTCCGCATAATGTCTTTCAGGGTCACACATTTTGTATACTATTTCATGAGTTCCTTGATTTTCAATGAAGTGTAGTATTCCGTTGTGTGAATATACCACAGCTTCTCTATCCAATCATTTGTTGATGGGCACTTGGGTTGTTTCCGAATCTTTGCTATTGTGAACAAAGCCACAGTAAACATGGGTGTGCATGAATGCCATTTTTTAAATTGCTCACCTAGAGTCAGGTCTTAGGAAATCATTTGAGGACCTGAAAATGCTCTTCAAGAGATAGGGACTGCACCCAAAAAGCCATGATCTTGGCTTTGGTTGCTGTGTACTTACAAGGTGCCTTATTAGGTGCTAAGAGATGTAGGTGCATGATATTTGTTAACCTTCATAGCAGTTCTGGGATTGGTACCGTTTCCCCAGTTTATGTAACTAGGGAAACGTTTATGTAACTAACCCCAGGTCTAAACATCATGTAAGTACTTGGCTTGGGTTTTGGCCCCTACCCCCTACCCTTGGCTGCTACTTCTGCCACCTCCTCCCCTTGGCCACTGCTGATTTCGACCTTCCTCATGCATTCTCTGCCCCATTCTGTCCAACAGACTCCTGCAACTCCAGGTGATGCCTTCATCCCGTCTTCATCTCAGACGCTCCCGGCGAGTGCAGACATGTTTAGTTCTGTACCTTTTGGCACTGCTGCTGTACCCTCAGGTAAGCGCTCTTCAGCCAGCCAACTTCCTTTTCTTTGGCCTCTACGCATCAAGAGAGATGAACCTGCTACCCAGAGTGTACCAGGACATGAGGGACCCTCCAGTCTCTCCTCTTACACAGGAAGTGATGCTGAGAAACCTTACACAGGGTGCAGAGCTCAGGTATGCTGATACATGGAGCACATTCCTCTCCTGGAATGTTCTAGATTCTATGCTTCTCAGGGGAATAACTTTGGAGACCTTGGGGATACATAACCAGCCTGTCAATCTGCCAAAAAAAAGGAGTCCATGTCTTCTTTCCATCTCATCCTAAATGAGAGGGAAACGGCAAGCTAGATCGAGGAGTGGAGTCATCTTTCCACAGACCTCTTCAGGACTGATGGGTAGAGGACATCGGCTTTACTTGGTGCCGTCTTGAGGAATGGGAGGGTCACCATACAATGGGAAAGCCCAGGGATGAAAGCAAATGGATGGGTGGAGGGATGCTGGATGATGTAGTAAATACTTGTTCAGCTTTCCAAATACTCTTTGAAACATAAATAATACTTGTACAAAAGAAGGAAATATATACAAAAGCACTGCAATAATATTTCAGGGGAGTTCCAAATGGATAGAATACGAGGCATCTTAACTTACTCCAAAGCAGTAAGCCTGTTATTTAGCAGGATCAGTCTTCACTTGAAAATTACCAAAAGTGGTATTTAACGTGAAACTAAACATTGCCATCATGCCAATTTCACCTCATAGCGAAAATCCCAATCCGTGTGTTGTAGGAATGTGATATATTTTGCTTCCTTACCTTTGGTCTGTCGGGAACTCGGCATAGTAAATTATGTATCTCAATTGTGATGGAAGGTCAGCAGTTCACTGGCTCCACAGGAGAAAGTGGACAGTCTCCTCCTGTCAAGTTTTATAGCCTTGAAACCCAATGGGAGGACTCAGATCAAATCAACTGCTCTTCCCTGAGTTTGGTGTTAGGTTTCCTGGAAGCATACTTCCTACCATCCTGTACTACTAACCAGAAGGTTGGGCTTTGAAATCCACCAGCTTCTCCTGGGGGGCACTCTCTCCTCATTAGGATTTACAGCCTCAGAAATCTGATGGAGGGTCATTATGAGTCAAGTTCAACTGGATAACACTGTGTTTGGTTGTTTTTTAAAATGTTCTTTATCTCTGGTGCCCTAGAGGGTAGAGAATCACACTGCCAACCCAAAGGCAGGTAGATTGAATCAGGCAAGCTACTGGAGGTAGAAAATTAAGCAGTCTCCTCACATGAGGTTTACTGCCTCTGAAACCTGCTAGAAGGTCATTTATAGTCCATTCTGTCAATATTGAGTTGAGTCACGGAAGTAGATCACCAGTCCTCCTTTTGTGACACCTCTGGATATGTTTGTCTTATCAGCCTTTAGTTTTGTAGCCACTCACAGGTGTTCTGACTGCCCAGGAACTTAAGGAGGTACGAGTTCTGCTTTTTCTACATGGGTTTTGCGTTTGGGTTTGTTTTTTCCTTTAACCACATATTTTAAATCTGTGGTTTCATCTTTCTTTCCCCACTCTATTTTTATAAATGGCAAAGACAGTCTGAATATTTTAAAATACAAATCTTCTTGTGTTTTTTCTATAAATAATTGCTTTTAATTACATAGTATTAGAAGCAGATTCTTGCCACCAAATATAAACCTTTCTTTTATTCAAAGTAAATTAAAATTCATACTCTGTTCTGAAATAGTTATTCCTCATGAGCCAAGGAATCATTTTGAACTTTTAGAAGGAACAGAGCTTTGCAGCCACTGGCTTTAACATTCAGCTTAGAATCTGTAGGGAGCCTAAAAAGTTATTTAATTGCTGGATATGCTTTCTCTATCTTTAAAATGTTGTTGTTTTGTGCTATTCAGTCAATAACGACTCTTGGTGACCCTGTGAACCACAGGTCAGAACCTTGCCCTATCCTGTGCCATCCTCAAAGTCTCTGCCATGATGAGCCCATTGTTACAGTCACTATATCTGTTAAAGGTCATCCTCTCTTTCACCGACACTCTCTGTCTTTGCCAGAATGATGCGTTTTTCCAAGAACCGGCACCTCCTGACAACATATGCAAAGTATTTGAGATAAAAGTCTCACCATCTTTGTCTCTAAGTAGGATGCTTTTGGTACTCCCTTCAAGACAAAGTTTGATTTTTTGGCAACTTGTGGTATGTTTAATACCTCAGCAAAGCCACAAGTCAAAGGCATCAGTCCTTCAGCCTTCCTTAGTTATTGTTCCAACTTTGCATAAGAAGCAATTGAAAATGCCATGGCTTGAACCAGACATACCTTAGTCTTTAAACTGACATCCTTGATATTCTGAAATAATTTTATTATTGTTAATTGCCACTGAGTCCAGTATGACTCATAGTGACCCTGTGAACAACTAATGTGAACCCTGTCCTATCCTGTGCCATCCTCATCATCTCCGACATACCTGAGACCATTGCTGCAGCCCATTGTGTCAGTCCATCTTGTTGTGAGTCTTTCAGTCTTTCGCTGACCTTCCACCTTTCCAAACATGATGTCCTTTTCCGAGGAATAGCCTCTCCTAGCAAAATGCACAAAGTATGTGAGGTAAAGCTTCACCATCCTTACTTCCAAGGAGCACTCTGCCTTCACTTTTTCCAAAGCCTATCTCTTTGTTCTTTTGGCTGTCCGTACTCTTCTCTAACATCACAGCTGAAAGGCATTAGTTCTTCTTCTGCCATCCTTATTTATTGTCCAGCTCTTAGCAGCAAGTGATTGAAAAGACGATAGCCTGAATTAGGCACACTTTCGTCCTCATACTAACATCAGAGAGGTCCCTGACTGTAGACTTTCCCAGTGCAGCGTGTCTCTTTATTTCTTGACTGCTGGTACCAAGGGTGTTAATTGTGGATCCAAGCAAGATGAAGTCACTGACAGTGTCAATCTTTATCTGTCTGTTTAGTCCAGTGGTAAGGACTTTTGTCTTTTTGATGTTGAGATGTACTGATTTTGAAAGCTGACATTTTCGATCTTCTGCAGCAAGCACTGTTAAGTCTTCCTCACTTCCAGCACGCAAGGCTGTGTCATCTAGGACCGAGGTGGTGGTTGTCGTTAGGTGCTTTCGAGTTGAGTACAATTCAAAATGACCCTACAAACAGCAGACCTGAACCAGTGATGAGTGATTTCCCTTACCTAAAAGATAAATATTGTTCTAAGAGTATTGTCGTAAGTAAGAATATACGTTTTCATCAGAAATGTGTATAGCCTTCTGTGCTGAGAACATTGTGTTCTAAATATCCATAATTTGCATGTATTACAGAATCTATTAAGAAATGCTGAATATATCACAGGAACTGCAAGCACCAAACTTCAGCGACTCGTAGCAGGGTTTATCGCACCAGTATTCATCCAGCTCCTACACGAGTCTGGTCTCGGTTTGCATGCATGAGGTATCTTGGGGGACAGATGGAGATCGCTGCACACAGAGAGCATACCGCTTCTTGAGGAGACAAACAATAAGCATAAAAATATGTGATTGGAGAAGGATGAATCCTAGTTGCCACTGAGTCATCGCTCACTCCTGGTGTCTCCAGGTGCTGCAGTGGAACTGTGCTGCACTGGGGGTTTTGTTTGTTGGTTTGGTTTTTGTATGTATACTGGTTTAGTTGCAAAGTTCATATGATGCATTGTTTTTCACACTGGATCTTTCCCATTTCTTTACCCATGTCTCCCTCCACCCATGCAACTGTTTGATCTTATGATTAAGCCCCCACCCCTCACTCATCCTCACCTCTCTGTCCCCCCTCCCCTTTTAGATCCTCATACTCGTTCTACAATAATGGTCTTAGACAGTACTTCTCCTTATGGGACTGAGTTAGTTCACTTGGCATAATGCTCTCCAGTCCTTCCCATCTTAGGTAGTAATTTACAAAATCATTGCTCCTGTGTGATGCATTGTATTCCATTGTGTGAATGTACCATAATTTTTCAATCCATTCCATTGTGGTTGGACATTTGGGCTGTTTCCATGTTCTTGCTATGGTGAATAACACTGCTATGATCATTGATGTACCAGTCTCTGTTTGTGCCTCAATTCTCATTTTCTCTGGGTATATTCGAAGCAGGAGTGGCATCCACTTCCTAAACAGCATGCCTCGGAAAGTCTGTGAACTTTGATGAACATTGATAGTTGTAGAGGGGCTTCTGGCCTCTTGTTCATAGGGTCGCTATGAGTCGTGCTTGGCTCGATGGCCATTGACAACAACATTTTCCAAGCAGTGGAATAACTGGATCATATAGAATTTCTGTACTCAACTTTTTTGAGGAAATGCCAAACTGCCTTCCACAGTTATTGTACCATTTTACAATCCCATCAGCAATGTATAAGAGATCCTATCTCGCCACATCCTGTCCAGCATTTATTACTTGCTGCTCTGTTGCACTAGGTTTTGAACAACTAGGGTTTTCAGTAGTAGGTTACCAGGCCTTTCTTCTGAGGTACATCTGGATGGACTTGAAGCTTAACCCTTTTAGATAGTAGTTGAGCTTGTATATAGTTTACACCAGCCAGCAACTCTGCAGAGTGATGAGCAGGATGGAGAAAAGGAAAACATGGAGCGAAGTTGTGGGCGTTTGGTGTCCAATAGATGGCAGTACAGTGGCAGTCAGTGGTCATAAGACTCATGTAGGTGTCAAGGTTCAGAGGATTCCACTTGATGGATTCACTTGGCCCTTGAGAAATGGCGCTAAGTATAATCTTGCGTGTCTGCCAGCCCTTAAATCAGATTGAATGAGTCTCAGGACCTGCCTTGTGTCTTGCATACAACGCTAGCTCAGACCTCTTCCTCACCCTGTATCAGATGAGGGTCTTGAAGGCCTTATTTAGTCTTGCTACTTGACCAGCAATGTCACAGACTATAGGAGAAGTCCCTTCCTCAAATCCAGATTCAGGTTCCCTCGCTATTAAATACTATGCATAGAGTCCCTGTAGTATTTCATTTCTCAGA